GCTCATTTACACACTTTTCCTGAAGATAGAAGAGTTTGTTGAATCTGACGTGACATGTTCGTACGAACCCTTTGTACGAACAAAAGTAAGAGGAATTTTGGATAAGAATACGAACATGTTCTTGCATGAGGCCCAATGTTGTTTTGTGAGTTGAGTCTCTAAAAGTGTCTCTCAGACTGAAGAAAAAAGCAGCTTACAGACACGAGTTCCCATTTCTCATCAGGGTTTTCTCGAACATCTGGAACTGCTGAGATCAGAGCGTTGAACATGTGAACATCTCCTGCAGAGGGAAGATCACAGACAAAAATGTAAAATCACCTCCAAGTGAACTTTTTAACAATTTTAAATTTTAGCAGAAGAAAGCTTGAACCATTCCCTAAGAAATCTGAAAAAAGATTACACGACTTCTTTGTTTATTGTGAACTGAACTCACATTCATCCTGAGGGTCATTAGGGTTTGTTAGCTAGGTTTAAACTCCACACTTCAGTATGAGAAGCTATGTGGAGATGAGACTAAGGTCCAGAAGGACCTCTACCCACCTGCACTTTGTGGCAGTGCGACCAGGAGGAGGAAGCTTGTTTCAGAGTTAAACACTTCTAACCTTCAACTGTTACTGGTGCTGCTCATTACCTGCCAGCACCACCCCCACAGTGAAGCATGGGGGGGAGGGGGGGGGGTCTTTCTTTAGCAGAAGGAACTGGGAGACTGAAAACTAAAGAAAACATGGATCCAATGTGAGGTGGTCCAGACAGAGTCCAGTAAATCCTATCAAACGTTTTCAGCTAAACTTGAAAACGGCTCCGCCCACTTTCCCGTCCAAATAGACTGAGATTAAGATTTAAACAAGATAAATGGAAGAAAAATGCCCACTATATACTGTTAACACACTGAGTACATCACTGTACTTTATGTTAAAATTATCAACTTTATACATATATCATGTACATCCACTGTAAACATACATCACTGTCACTTTAATCCTGATGCCAGTACTGTGAACCTTTATTCACACTTTATGCTGTTACATTTCTGTTTTTATACCTAATGTTTTACTAACTGGTTACTTAAGATGCTTATTGCAGCAGGGTCTGTGTGTCTCTACATTATGAAGATTTGATAATAAACTTTGACTTGATGTGATGTTTTCAACAATAAAATTATTTGGTTCCGTTTATTTTTAAGACACATTTCATTTTTCATCTTATTCAAATTCAATTCAATTCAAAAAKACTTTATTGATCCCAGAGGGAAATGAGGTGTTGTTATAACTCATTGAACTAAAAACTTATTGTAGATGCTGATGGCTGTGGGCAGGAAAGACCTTCTGTAGCGTCTGTATTACAG